CAGTGGACAGAGCTTTGGCCTGCAGACTGAAGGGTCCCAGGTTCAATTCTAGTCAAGGGCATCTACCTAGTTGTAGGCTCAATCCCTGGCCCTGGTCAGAGCATGTGCGGGAGGCCACCAATCAATGTGTCTCATATCGATGTTTCCTTTCACTCCCTCTCTCTTTCTCCCTCCCCCCCATTCCATTCTCTAAAAAAAATCAATGGAAAAATATCCTTGGGTGAAGATTAACAAACAAATAAAAAATAAAACCTGAGTAAACCTTTTTTTGACTTGATGAGAAGACGAGTCTATAGAAATAATAATAATTCAAACAGAGCAGGTAAAAGAGGTAATAATTCAAACAGAGCAGGTAAGAGAAGGCTCCTAAATGCCACATCAAAATATTCAGTTTAAAAGCATGAACTGTGTAAACACATAAGACTTCTAGCAAGTATTGCTGGTAAATGGGATGGAGTTTACTGTTTTTCAGTCCTAAATAATCTGCTTTCTCTTGGACATAGTCCTCCTGGTTGCCAACGACTGAACCCCGAACTCTGTCTAGGAAAAGATTCAAAGAGCTCTGTCTAGCACTGTTCTCAACCTTTCTGTCCCAGGTTAAAAATATGTAATAAATCACATACAATTTGGTGCTTAATGCCAGAGTTGAATTCTTAAAAATAATTTTTAATATTCTGACAAGTTTACTTGCAAGAATTAGTTTTATATTTTGAAATATCAAGCAAAGTAAAGATGCCTTGGACAAAAGCCTCATGAAAAACAAGATATGATATAGTCAGACTAGTTTTTCCTCATAAACTAAAAAGGTGAGTGAGTCCTCTTATAAAACTCCCTTTTTTAAAAATTACACCCCTGCTCTGGCTGGTATGGCTCAGCTTGTTTGATATTGTCCCATGCACCAAATGGTCACGGGTTCAATTCCTGGTCAGGGCACATGCCCAGGTTTTGGGCTCCATTCCCAGTAGGGGGGGCATGCAGGAGGCAGCCGACTGATGTTCCAATCACACATTGATGTTTTCTCTCTCCATCTCCCTTCTTCTCTTTATAAAAAAATCAGTAAAATATATATATATATTTAATTGCATCCCTGCCTAAGCTCAAATAATGGATTCATTTACAGAAAATCTAGCAAAGTTAGAGATCAAATAGCCCTGAACCCGAGTTATCTAAAGCTACTCTGTGGTCAGGTCAGCCAGGCAAGGCCTCAAACCAGTACCAGGTATTTCAGGAGGCAGTGTGCACACTTGTGGTTTTGTGGTCTTCAACCGTCTTGCCAGCCTGGAGGTCTCTGGCTGACCAGGGACAGCAAGTGACAGTATGCAGCCTGGCTCAGCAGAATCCAGCATAGGAGAGTCTGCACCTCCAGAGATGCATTCCCTGCTGAAATCTCACTGCTGTGGCTCTTCCTACCCTTCCAGGAACCTGACCAAAGACCCTGAACAGGCAAATTTCCCAATTGATGAGCAATCTTTTCCAGCTGGAGGAAAAGGCAAAAAGAAAAAACTTTCTACTCATCTGTTTTCATTTCAAATGGAAGCAATCTGCTGATATAATGTATGGTGTTATGGTCACTTGTGTCCTTCTGGCCTATAATGTCTATGGATCTCATACATATTTTTCTCAAAGCTCCTCTTTGAAGCACCCAGCCTGCACCTGGCTTACTTATCTCCCTGTAGGCATGTTAACTATTCTCCCACTTGACCAAAATAATAGTGGAGTGTTAGAGGAAGCTTAAGCTCCCAGGGAGGGATCATCTCTCACTGGAGCTGGAAATACACTGCCCAAATCCAGGGGAAGAGGAAGGACTGTCCCTAGGTAGCCATTGGCTAAAAAACAGAAACAGCTTTCTTAAAGCTGGCTAAACACAGTGACAGCTGGACTGTGGAGGGTCACAGAGGGAGAAAAGGCCTCATGGTTGGAAAGGGATGTGACCACCAAGGGAGCAGGAAAGTTTGGAGGAGCACAGCTGTTCCACAGAATGCCAGTCCATCACCCTGCTCCCGCAGTTGCAGGTGCAGTCACCTCCCTGCCAGTATCTTGGGCAGAAAGGCAGGAGCTCCACGGGCCACTTCTCAGTATGTCTCAGATGTGGAAGCAACCTCAGGACAAACCTGGATTCTTCAGGTGTAAATCTTTTCTAGGTCTGGTATCTATCATCACATGTTCGCATTCCTCTGCTCCTCTAGGAGAACATGAAGTTACTGAATACCAAGCTAATCCTGGCAGTTCATCAACAGACACACTAACAGGCACAGACACGTAGAACAAAAAACCACCAGCTGCCCTCATGAGGACAACACAATCCAAGGAGCCACAAGGAGGCACAATCAAGACCTGACGGCAGGCCCTATGCAGATACCTCAGCTCACTCCCCCAGGGACCCTGTCCTACAGGATTATTGCAGGTGACAAGCCACGGATGGGAGAGCTCACCCAACGTGTCCATCCAACGACACAGCCCCAAATGCTTTCTTGCCACTAGAGCCTGTCAGAAGTATCTGTTTTGGCTCTCATACTGCACTTTTCCCTTGGAAGCCTACAGGCTCTGCCTGCTGATGTCGCTCAAACTTGTTCACGGGAAAGACCACAAAGTGGTCTGTGCAGGATTCCACAATGACTTCCTCTCCACTCACTAGGAGATGAACTCTTAACTCCTCTGGTTGGCATTAAGGGCCTCTTATATCTGACCTCCTACTCATCTCCACAGCCTCATCTCCTGCTGTCCCCACAACTCCTCAAAGAGATGGGTTCTCCCTCCTACCATTTTGTCCCAAAAACTACACTTCCTCTGTCAAGGCATCTATTTGGCAGGTGGGTGGCTGAGACCCTCCTTGGTAAAGAATGGACAAGGCCAAGAGAACCTGAGCCTTCACCACAAATGGCGACTGAATCAATGAACTAAAGGACAGTCTCCTGAGTGAGAGCAAACCCTGAGGACCAGCCCTCTGGACCCTCCAAAGTGCCTCAACACCAGGACCAGAGAGGTGACCTAGAAATGCCAAATCCCCTGCTCTGCTCTAAAGCTAGTGCGACTGTGTGCTGACCCTCGTTTCTTGAACGTCCCAAATCCTCAATTAAGACTTGACAAACCTGCTCTGGCGGTCCAGCAAGGGCCCGAAGTGCCCAGGTCCCCAGCATCTCAAAGGGCACCCAGAGGGACGCGGCCTGGCACTAGAACCTGTAGGCTGTCCATTTCTAACAAAAAAAGCTGAACAGACCCAGTGTCCGGAATATTTCTCGGTGCTTAAGAATTTTCCTGTTGTAATCTTTACCTAGCAGGACGAGGAGACCCTGTTACGCGAGAGGCAGGTAGGCAGGGGTTCCCTTTTCCTTCCCCGGTGCCTTCATCACCATCTACCCGGGGTCCACAAGAGCCTGGCCGGGGGCCCTGGACAACCACTCACAGCCTTCTCTCCACCTTCACGGCCCAGGCCGCCCGCAAACCCAGGAGGCCACTCCGCCAGGAGCTACGGTCCCGCCCACTGCCCGCAACTCTGAACTCCGGAGACCCCGGACTCGCAGGCCCATGCCAGCGCCGCGGGGGTCAGAGGGCGCATTCTTCCCCACCTCACCCCACCCCACCCCATCCCGGAAAGGAGAGAACGAACAAGTCCTGCTGCGGACGGGACCGGAAGAGCGCGGGCAGGGCGGGCTATCGGCGAAGGGTCGGGGCCTTAGGAGTCGTTGGGAGCCACCGTCCCTGCCAGGGGCGCCGTGGGGCGCCGGGAGCGGAAAGAGTAGTTGCCAGCTCCGGCCTCCTCCGGCCTCCGGGTCCCGAGCGCAGCCGTCCCGAGGGGAGGGAGGCGCGGGAGCAGACAGGAGGGAGGACACTTACTTAAAAGGCTACATAGTTTCACTCCCTGCCCTTTCCGGAGCAGCGGCGACACCACCGGCCCCTGGGCTCCGGCCTCAGGTACCGCCACCCTAGCGCGCGGCCCCACGCCACCGCCCACCCTCTTACTCCACCGTTGGGCGGGGCCGCGTCCCGGAGTCAGCCCAATGAGCGGCCAGCCTGACCCAGAGTGACGTGCGCGCAGAGCAATCATTAAGCCCGCCCAGCCGGAGGCGGGGCTCAGGCGGCGCACTGCGCTTCCTACTCCGGTGAGAGCCCAGAGCTGCCGACTGCGCATGCCCACACCGGGAGAGGGCGGGGTCGCGAGCAACTGTGTCAGGGAAGGGGTCCAAGCTTGGTCTCTGGAAAGCGGGCTGGATTGAGATTGGGGACCCCGGAGCCATACCTCCTCATGTATCGCCCTTTACTGCTTGCTTTGGAGGACGGAGGTGCCGTCGCTGGCAGGGGCTGGGAGTCATGATCCTTTATCCTCTATTAATCGACGAGGTTCTAAGCCCCTCACTTGCTTGGATGTAGAGTGACACAACCCCTCACCCCTTTATTTTTTTACCTGGGCCTGTTTTCCCCATCGGCAAAATAGAGGGTTAGATATGCGAAGCGCTATTATTCCAGAACTTCAACGGGGGGTGGGGTGGGTGAGGAGGGAGAGACAGGGGACCTACACGTGACCTCCCGCGCGGGCCCCGCCTATCCCTTGTCCAGGGGATGGAAGCATCCCGCGGGGACGGGCGGGCGGGGTGAGTGGATCCTAAGAAGCACGACCCAGCCATCCTGGGCAGCGGCTAAGGCGGAGCGCGCCGCTCGCGGGTTAGTCCTAGAGACGGTACCTGAGGAAGATGGGGACCACAACCCGGGCTTCGCAGGGGGCCGCCGTGGAGGCCAGGACAGGACAGAGACTCAGCGTGTGACCTGAGCGTATCTGGGAGGATGGACGAGGGGACCGGAGGCAGCTAACGCGCCCGGCGGCGCACGTCGCGAGTCCCTAGCTGGCTCCGTCGACAGCACTGCAGCGCGGAGCGGGTCTGGGGCCATGAGGAAGGTGCCGGCGGCCCGATCCGGAGTCGCAGGGGGGATTGGCCGTTTGGCTGTGCGGAGGGCCTGAGGCCGGGAGGGGCGCAGGCGGTCAAGTCGAGCCGGAGCGCACCGCTATGGCGAGGGAGGAGTGCAAGGCGCTGCTGGACGCGCTCAACAAGACGACCGCGTGCTACCACCACCTGGTGCTTACTATCGGGGGCTCGGCGGACTCGCAGAACCTGCGGGAGGAGCTGCACAGGACGCGCCAGAAGGCGCAGGAGCTGGCGGCGGCCACCGGCGCGCCGCTGACGACCGCGCTGCGAGACAAGGGCCTGGGCGCCGAGGAACGCGCCGAGTTCGAACGCCTGTGGGTGGCCTTCTCCGGCTGCCTGGACCTGCTGGAGGCGGACATGCGGCGCGCGCTGGCGCTGGGCGCCGCGTTCCCCCTGCGCGCGCCGCGAAGGCCGCTGGTGCGCACCGGCGTGGCGGGCGGCGCGGCGGGCGTGGCGGCCCGCGCCCTGAGCGCCCGCGCCCTGCGGCACGAGGCGGAGCGCCACTTCGACGCGGACGATCTGCGCGAGCTGGAGCGGGATATCCTTCAGGTGGGCACGATGATCTACGACCTGGAGATGAAGGTCAACGTGCCCCGCTGGACGGTGCAAGCCCGGCAGGCGGCGGGCGCCGAGCTCCTGACCGGGGCCGGAGCCTCCTCGGCGGGCTTGGTGTCCGTGGAAGAGCGCACAGGGCCCTGCGACCCGAGCAAGGCCCTGGCTGCCACCGTGTTCGGCGCCGTGCTCCTGGCCGCCGTGGCCCTGGCGGTGTGCGTGGCGAAGCTGAGCTGACCGACACCCGAGAGCCTGCCGCCCAGCTCCTTCCGGACCGCCGCCGCTCCTTCCCCAGAGGCGCCCCTCTCCCGGAGTGACCCTTCCCGCCGGGACTTGGGATGGGAGTGGAATCTGGCATGTTTAAGGGGAGCGATTCTAAAACCCCGTGTGTGTGTAGGGGTACACTCGTATTTCAAGCACACACCTACCAGCAGAACGAGGTTTCCTCCTGCTGGCCAGGGAGGAGTTAACTTGTGCAGGCTGCCAGGGCATTACCGCTAATTTTTGCGGGAGCTTTATCCTCTATTAATAGAAAACGGTCCACAGTGACCCCAGGTTCCTCTGAGTTAATGGGTTACCGCGTGTGCTGCTGGGGCGTGTTTGCACGGAGTCCCAGTTTGGTGCCACCAATCGCTACCGGAGACTCCCACGCTCTACACGGGGCAGTTTGATAAAGGCGGTGATGAAAAGAAGGGTGGAGAGGGGGGTTGTTTTGCTGGAGAGGGGTTGTTTCTTCCTGGACAAGAGGCAAATTGCAACAGGATATAAGCAGGTTTCTGATTGTTTTGTTTTTACTTTAATCCTTTGGGGCCTACGTTTAGGAGAGGGAAAATAGACGTTCATGCAAAGTGCTTTCTGGATGGCTCACGATTGCGCTTCTTGGCAGAATCACCAAAAGCAGCTAGAAGAGGCTTGGGGTTGTGCCCTCGCTGCAGGGTCTGACTCTGCTTAGGAAACCAGAGACGGGCCACAGGACCTTCCTTCACCGGGTTGTACCCCCTGCGCACACTGCCTAGTTAAAAGGGCTCTCTCTCGCCTGCCGGGGCGGGGGCAAGCTTTGGGAAGGGCCACATGCTGTATAAACAGGAACTTTCTCCTTCCCTTTGGCTTATTTTTGTTCCTCCTTTTCGCGGAGGGCTAGGGAATCCTCTTTGGAGTCCTTAATCCTGTCTATCCCTTGGAATTTGCTTGCCAGCCAGTAGGACAGCTGGCTTTGGAAGGAGCTGCACAGCTCTCTGACCCAAACACTGCCCCCTGAGGGGACACAGTGGCATCACTGGCGTGCAGAGAACGTAATCGTTTTAACTTGGAATTTAATGTGTTTGAAAAATAACCACTTTAAAGAAAAATCACATTGTGTACTATCAAAGTTGTGTTTTTTTTGTTTTTTCTAAAAAACCTTTGGCCACGAATTTATACGTGCCAATAAATCAGACACAGTCTTTACTTATATACTTTGGTTACTAAATATATATTTCCATTTAGTTTTAAAATTGATCTTGAAGGCAGGAGTCATAACAAAAACTACTAGAACCGCAGGTGTAGGTGACAGAAATTAAGCAGCCCTTCCTTCTCTTGGTCAATAAATAAGGAAGTGTAGAAAACACCCTGGGTCTGAGGCTAGAATTTGCCTGAGCTAGGCTGCCACCTCCTACTGTGTTACCCAGAGAATGTCTGTTGAGAAAAAAGATGCATTTACTCCCTGAAGGTAATAATTAACTGACAAGGATTTTTTTTTTCTTTTTTTTCTTCTCTCTCTCTCTCTTTCTCTTTCTCTCTCTCTCTCTCTCTCTTTGATTTCAGAGAGGAAAGGAGAGGGAGAGAGATATAGAAACATCATGATGAGAGAGAATCATTTTTTGGCTGCCTCCTGGACATTCCCCACTGGGGATCGAACCCTCAACCACGCATGTGGCCTGACCAGGAATCGAAGCAGGACCTAGTTTGTAGGTCAATGCTCAAACACTGAGCCATGCCCCTGGGCCCTCAGCCACTTTTTAAAAAATATATTTTTTTATTGATTTTTCACAGAGAGGAAGAGAAAGGGATAGAGAGTTAGAAACATCGATGAGAGAGAAACATCGGTTAGCTGCCTCCTGCACACCCCCCACTGGGGATGTGCCTGCAACCAAGGTACATGCCCTTGACTGGAATCGAACCTGGGACCTTTCAGTCCACAGGTCGACGCTCTATCCACTGAGCCAAACCAGTTCCGGCTTTCTTTCTTTTTTACCCTCCAACTAAGAAAAGGGACCAAGAGGAGAGAATTGGCAAGTTTTCACAAAGGCAACTTGGGAGGGCCAAAGGCAGAGGTAAATAGCAGCAGGAGAGCTGTTTGGGTGCCCAGTCCTACCTAAGGACAATCCTCCCAGCCCAACCCACTCCCACTCCTCCTCAGCACACAAGTTCCAGAAATTTAGAATATGAGATGCTTGCATAGCGGTTTTAAACGATTCACAGGGTCTTAACCGGAATAAAAGTTTTATGACAATAACTAATTCAAAGGAACTTATGCCTCATCCAGTCTGGGTGAGTCTGAATAGCAGCCAACATAAAATTATTTTGCATCTGACAGTCCAGGATACTTTTAGAGATAACATAGAAAGTTTTCTAACTCTTTTCTTCCTCTTCCCATATACAACACAACATGGAATTTCTGTCACTTTCCCCAAAGTCTCATCCCAGGCAAGAGGAGGCTGGGGCATTTTATGACCCAGTGTTGGAAAATATTGAGCCCTAAGTAAATTCTTCCTTTTCTAAGACTGTGATTCTGTTCTTCTTTTTTTTTTTTTTAAAGAATATATTTTTTTTAGAGAATAATTTTATTGATTTTTTTTTTTTTGAAAGAAGAGTAGAGAGGGAGAGAAAGAAATAGCACACTCCCTACTGGGGATGGAACCAGCAACTTCCTGATGTGCAGGACAACTCATTTAGCCACACTGGCCAGGGTCTGACTATATTCTTTTCAAGGTGTTTTGTTCATGAGAAACAAATTGTTCAGCAGAACCTGTTTTTAAAAAAACTTTAGAAGTTGTGTAATCCATAGAGAGCAATTGGTTGCCACTCTTTCCACCCACTTGGCAGATCCTTGGGTCTTCACTTATATGTGCAATTAGATGTGTACCTGATTCTGAGAGTCCTCTGCTCTCTGAAATTAGTGACAGAGTGTTGCAAAATTAGGCCAAATTACAATAAACATATTTTTTGCTGTAGACTTGTTAGCTTAAACAACACCCTGAGTTTGAAAATGTTAAACATTAGGACTATTTGGCATTATTTGTAGTTATAACATTGCCTAATAGAACTTTTGCTCGATGATACAAGCAAAATCACTTGCTGCTTGAGCAATAGGCTACTCTTTCTCTCTGCTCTGATTTCTATATATATTTCAAGAAATTGCTTTCTTGTAGAAGCCTGATTTAATTTAGATGTTTGATATGTTAATAATTCTCTAAAAAAACACTTGGTATGATCTTATTCCATGATACAAGTGATAGAAAAGAAAACAAATTCAACATGTTTAATACAGGGTATAATGAAGCGGTCAATGTTAAGGTCTATGTCAGAGAACATCTAATTTCCCAAATTAAAAGTACAAGCTAAAGGATAGAGTTTTACTTCCAAAGTAAAATGCTATTGTTAAGTAAAATCTCTTGTGAAGTTAAATACTTGTAAAGAGGAAACATCCTTGGCTTTTCCTTTGGGAAAACAGCACTGCTTTCTGTGATACTGAAAAGAACTTGATATGTCAAGGTACTTATCATGGGAACTTTGAATTATTGCTATTAATTAAAAAAAAAAAGCACCAACTAATAATGTTTGTGGGAGAAAAAAATGCCTGCTGGCAAATTCTTTTTTTTAATTTTTTTTATGTGCTCTAAAAACTTACACTTTTAAAATGCCAGAAGGGAAAATATTTTTGGTAAATAAAAGTAGAGCATAAACTTTCTGATTTACCTAAAGTTTACAATAAGCTACATATGAGATGGATGATGTCGAATGACTAAAAAGTACTTTTGATTGAAGCAAGAAAGAGAGAGAGAGAGAACCCTAATAATGCTGCATTTTCCTTTTCAATGTGCACATTGGCATGTTTTTATTACTTGGTTGCTTTTCAGAATGTAGTTCTCTCTTTATTGAGTGCTTGTTAAGGGTGTGAACCCCAGAGTGTGAGTCTGCATGTCAGTCTGAGAAATAAAGTGATTAGGACTGGTCCCTATGAGGGCATGCCTCTTCTGGTAAGGCCGAACCAGCTGCAACTGTCAGGGACTCTGCCTCTCTTTCCAGGTACCTCAGACAAGTCACTGACCTTCCTGTGCCTCACTTCCCTCATTTATGACATGGCTATGTGTGCGTGGGGGTCCTCACTAATGCCAAGGTCCCTTCCAGATCTTATAACGTTTAATGGAATGCAGTTAAACAAGAAAGGGTTATTTTGATTGTTTGGTGTGTTTTGGTGCATATTGAAATGAAATCTTACAGTTTGGTGGTTATTGTCTAATATTAGTCTGTGAGTAAATTCCATATGATTTTTAAAAATTAGAATGAACTAAGCTTACTGTGATTTTAGTCCATATCAGAACTAGTGGGTGGACATAAAAAGCAAATTTGTGTCAATGCTACTTAAATTAGATTAGGAATTTAAATTCAGATCCTAACTTTAAGTCCAAGGAAGCCCAGTATTTATTAAATAGTTTGTTGTACCCAGCAGCTGGACCATCTAAATTGATTCTGGAAAATTACAGATGTGAAAACCTGTCATTTGTCACGCAGACTGGGAGAATCCTACTCTGTAAGTAACCTGGTGCTCTCAGAACTGTAACTACATTGGCCGCCTGATGTTGGGGAGTGTGAGCACAGCATGAATTGTTTTGTATGTGGCATTGATAAGAGCAGGGAGAAAATGGTGGGCACTAACAATGTTCATAGATATTATAAGTCATTTCTGTACTGTCTTCATCAAAGAAGATACACTCTGACCTGGTAACTGGCTTTCTCTGGGAGTTTTCCCCAGGATTGCTGTCCATTCTCTGATTCTGGGAACGGGCTAAGCTGTTTGACATCATAAAGGATTAACTACCTGGTTTTCAGTGCTGTCGGATCTGAGGTTCAGCACAGTCCAGAGCTTTTATCTCCTTCCCGCTAGGGAACACTAGCCAGGCACTCAGCCTTCCCCTCCTCTCCGGCTCTATCCTCTCCACACGCACAACGTGTCTCCGTACCTTAGGCTTTTACAG